TTAAACCAATTCTTTCTCTTGATAAACCAACGAACCACAATTAATACACAGTTGGCTAAGCGTATTTAACCAGCACATGTTTATGAAACACTGATGCATATAAAGTATTTAATCTTTTCAGAGTTTTCTACTCCTAGACATACAAAAAGCACATAAAAACACTGACAGTCACTTATTTTGCCATATTTTTTGAGTACTTGATATGCACTAGAAGTTTATCAGTGATTCAGAAATTGTTGAAAACACAAAGAACTATAAAAAGTATCTTCAAAAAAAAATCATGTTATTTTGACTTTCTCTTTGTAAACAAAAATTCTGGATAACACAGGTGAAATGTGGGGGAGAGGGTATATAGCTGAAGTGGTAGAGCACATGCTTAGCATGCACGAGGTCCCGTGCACAAGGTCCTGGGTTCAATCCCCAGTACTTCCTCTAAAAATAGATAAATAAATAAATCTAATTACCCCCCACCAAGTAATTTTTTTTAAGAAAGGAAATATAATTCAGAATGAACCATAAATAAATAAATAATTTTTTTAAATCAAAGGAAAATACTAAAAAAAAAAATTGGTGAAATGCTTCTATAAGCTGACAAAGTAAGGAATGATGAGGCCAAAATTAAGTGCAAAAAAAAAGTGCAGAAATCCAGAGCAGTATGCAGAGCACTGAAGCTGGCCCGCACTGCAGGGCACTACTAGACCCGGTACATTTGAACTTTGGTTTACACCTCTTTACAGGGCACAGAGAAGAGACAGCACATAGGTCCCCCTCAAAGAGGTGATTCTGGAAAAGTAGGAGACCACTCCACCAAAGGCCATCTCTTCAGCGTTAGAACGAACTAGAAGTAATCACCTTGAACCCTGTATCTCCTCCCACCCAACTGAAAGTGAAATTGCCTCCTGTCTGGAAACTTGGCGCCAAGCACAGAGGAGGGAAAAATCTTCTGAGTTTTGTAAGCAGGAGATGGCCCACACAGTTTTGTGACCTGCATTCATACCTCTGGGTGGTCTAAAGTGTCTCAAGCTGAGAATTAGGTTAAAGTGGTCACAGATCCAAGAGTCTCACAGAAGCAAACAAATCTTCTTTACAGAAACCCATCCCTAATCCAGGCCTCAAAGAATTTCCACAGAAATATGAGTTCACAGTCAAAAATCATGACCCCGAAAGTAAATGACATATCGTGAGTGACAGTCAACACTAATCAGACCCTCAAAGATGGAAGGCATGGGAATTATGGAACATGGACTATCCATCAAGTGCATTTAAATGTATTTATAGAACAAATAGGACATGTTATGGGCAAACAGAAAGTCATTAAAAAATAACCGAACATAGAATGTCAACAAGAAAAACTTCTAGTCATAAAAAACAGAAGTGGTATTTTAAAACTCAATGAAAATGCATAAAATAGTAATAAAATATGCAGTGGGGTTAAAAAATATAGGATTAAAATATACAAGAGCAGTAAGATAGACAGACAGATAAAAAGCCTTTATTCCAACAAATTTTTTGAGTTTAAAGGGAACAGACAAAGGCCCTAGACAAATAATGTTTCACTATATCTGACTCAAAAGGAATATGAAACCCAAACAGTCCAGTAATCATTAGGTAATTGAATGGGGAGTTCAAAATATGTCAGTCAATGAACCAACCTCTCTAGGCCCAGTTGGCTCCTCTGGCAGTTCTAAATATTTTAGGAAAAAGTAGTTCTAATTTCACACAAATGCTCCTAGGGAAAAAAATGGGGGTAATGTTTCCCAATTCAGTTTGTGAAACTAGCATAATCCTGAACAAGAATAGTCAAAAAAAAAAAAAAGAAAAGAAAAAGGAAAAGTACAACTCACCACATTGATGAATACAGATTTAAAATATCTTAAATAAAATACTAACACACTGAATTCAGGAACAAATTTTAAAAACAAACAAACAAGAAGACACCTTATGACCAAGTTGGGCTTAGACAAGGAAAGTAAGGTTGATTTAACATTAAAAATAATTAATTAATTTTACCACACCAATAGAGTAAGGGGGGAAAAATCATATGGCCTCTCAGTAGATGCATAAAACCCCATATTTTACAAAATTAAAATGCATTCAAAAAAATTTTTAAAGTCTCTAGCAAAGGAAATAGCCTGATGGTATCTACAGCATTATGTGTAATGTTGAAATACTGTATTCATTCCCTGTAAGATTAGATACAAAATAAAGATGCCTGCTGTCACCAATTTTACTTAACATTTTACTAGATGCCCCAACAGTGCAGCTGACAGAAATGAATGAATGAATGAATGAATGAAGAAATGGTATAAGAACTGTAGGACAGCAAAATTTGCCATCCCAAAATGTGTCTCTTTGGCAAAAGGATTAACTGGGCAGATTATTTTTAAGAAACAGAAGACTCAGAAAGGTTTTCTTGTTACCTCCCCCTTAACTGCCTAAAGAATGTAGAGAAAGGGCCTGTTTCCAGAAAAGAGCTATCAATAGAGCTATCTGTAAAGAATGTGGGCGAGGTGTGGTGGGGGAACCTTGCGCAGGGCCTAGAAATCAGAGTCCACTCTGTGTCCCACTGTCTCTGTCTGGCCCAGCAAACATTTGTTTACCAAACATTTGCTTTTCCATCTCCATTTCCTTCCTCCCCTTTGAAGTCCCAGACCGTACCCCTCAACATCCTCTTGTCTTCAGCTGAAGATGATACTTAAAGTGCGTTACTCAGCTTCCCTGGGTCTTTCCCACATGTACATGTCACTAAACTTTTGTTTGATTTTCTCCTGTTAATCTGTTTCATGTCAATTTAATTCTTACAGCAGCCAGAAGAACTTAGAAGGGCAGAAGGAATTATCTTCCTCCCTAACACAGACTTATTTTAAAATGTATATGGAAGAACAAAGAGCTGTGAGTGCTCAAGCCACTCCTGAAGAAGGAAAGAAAGTGAGACAACTTACCTTACTAAACACCTAAAATTAAGTATTAATGTGAACAGAGAGGGTCATATTTTGCCTAAGATCACACAGCAATTAAGTGGCAGAGGATTCGAACCTGAGAAGATGGACTCTGGAGTCCTTGTTCTGAAATGCACACTGTGCTAACTCAGAGCTGTTACGCTGTATCACGCTGGTAGAACCATAAGAGAAGTAATTTAGCCAACAAACATCATTAAGAAACTGCTTACTGATGTGAGAGTTGGGATCCTGTCCCAGCCATCTACTTACTGCTACATAACACATCTCTTCAAACTTAGCAGCACCCAACAACAACTACTTATTGTGCTCACAAACTCTGTGGGGCAAGGGATTGGGACAGGAATAGCGGGATGGCTTGTCCTCGCTCCATAATGCCAGGACCCCAGGTGGAAAGACGAAATGGCTGGGGGCTGGATGACCTGAAGGCTGGGCTCAGTTGGGCCTGTGGACCCAGTACCCACATGCAGACCCTCCAAATGGCTTGGGCTCTCAGAAGGAGAGATTCCAGACAGCAAACACTGAGGCTACAGGATGTAGTTCTTGTGCCCTGCCTTGGATGTCACTTCCTCCACATTCCGTCCTTAGTGCCAAGTCACCAAGGCCAGACTAGATGTAGGGATGGGGAATCAGGCTTTACCTCTGGTGGAGGAGGAGCAAGGTAACCGTGCAGAAGAGCAGGTGAGTGGGAGACAGTGTCAGGGCTGCCTTTGGGAACACAATTTGGCCCAGAGTCACAGAGACTGTTGACAGAGCAATGGGGTCTGGGATATTTTCAGCCTTAAGTAACAGAACATGCAACTAACAGTGCCTTAAATACTAAGGGGGTTATTGTCTCATGAAATGAAAGGGCCAGAGGCAGGGCAAGTCCAGAGTTATTTAGTTGCTCAGTGATGTCACCAAGGAACCCAGTGCTTCCTGTGTTTCCTCTCTGCTACCCTGTACACATCCAGAGTATCTTAGTCCTCAGTTCAACTGGCTACAGCAATTCCAAGCCTTAGAAGGAGACATAATAATGTCACGCAGATCAACAGAGGGTGTTTTTTCCCATCAGTCTCTTTCAGTTAAACAACAACAACAACAACAACAGCAAAAACCTCCTTTTCCAAACACAGTCAACTTATTTTCCGGTCACATTGGACCAGCCCTTGCCCTTGCTCACGTCGTGGCTGAAAAGGAAGCTGAGAAAGAAAGGATCTAGCATTTTGACTTCGTAGTAAGAAGTGCCTCTGCTAATTAAAAAACAGGACGAGGAAGAAGAATGACAGTGGTGCCATCAGTACCAGCAACCATCCATCAGTTTAGTAGTTATTAGCCGATGGCTAATTACATACCAGGCGCAGTGCTAAGAGGCGGGGCTTACCAGCGAGTAAGGCGAGCAGCCCCGTCCTCATAGGGCTTACAGTCCAGCACAGAACAGAGACATGTAACGAGCAAACACATAATTAAATACAAATGCATCAAGGGCTATGAAAAAAAGGTGCGCAATCAATGCACAATTTGCTGTAAATAAAATAACATATCTTCATGGGAACATAGCAAAGAGAAAGACAAGAGCATAGTTGTAAGTACTAAAAGAATTGCAAGGTGCTTAGTAAGACTGAAAAATAATCACTGGAAATGACCTGGCCGATAGACGTGTCCCCGTCATTAGATAAAGTTACTCCACTGAGGGTCTGAGACTGTTCACTGGGATTCACCACAGACCTGACAAACTTTCTCTAGCGACTACTATCTGATCTTCTACCCAACTGCATGCTCCCCAAAGTTCGGATGACTTCATCACTTACCCAGGTGCACCAGACACCAGACTGGAATTTTCCAGTCTCTGGAAAAGTTCTATGTGTCACCATAAAGTGTTATTTTGGTCAATTTAAACTGAACATGAGTAGCCTTAGATCTGACCCCCCTTTGGTGACCTGAAAACTGAGGAATCAGATCTTCAAAGCTAAAAACACTGACAGGGAGCCCGGGGTGAGACCCACACTGTGTAATTCCCGGGTTATAAAGCCCTTCTCACTCACAAAAGCACGAAAAACCCACCTTGTACATCCCTTTGATGGTAGCTATGGCATCGGCCAACTGCTGATTGTAGCATTTTCTTAAAGTATCCTCATTCTGCAAATGAAATATAAATACAGTCAGTGAGCACTACAATATATTTCCAAATACAATTCTCCCACCTCCAAGGGAAGGGCTCAGTATACAAGCAGCATTCAAATCCTCTCACTTCCTTGAAAACCTCAGTTCATAATCATTTCCCCCACGCTACAGCAATTACAACACATTCCACTGTTAATCACACTTCACCAAGAGCAATCGAGAGCTCATGTGGATAAAATAAATACAGATAATGCGAACATTTTATTTTACCTTACATATCAAAGTCTTTTTAGTGTCTTAGAAATTCTTTTTAAAGTAGTGAAATCTATTTGGAATTCACATTTTCTTCTGGTCCTTGTACTTTTTGGATGGATTTTGCTCATGAAAAGAAATCCAGAGCCGTTAATCCGCAAGCCAGAGTCATTTTCTGATTAATCAAATTATTTGATCCTGTCTGTTATGGATAGCAATGAAAGGTAGCACATTTGAAAAAAAAACCTTGATTCTTACCAATTTTGATTCTAACATGGACTGTATACAACAAATGGGCTTTAGAATCAGGCAGAACTGGATTTCAATGTCACTGTACAACTTACCGTCTGACTTTAAGCAAGTGACTTAACCTGGGTGGCTCCATTTCCTTATCTGTAGAGCAGGGATAACAGGATTTCCACTTGTAGATTGTTGAGGGACTTAAAGAGGAGATGCATTCAAAAAGGTATCTTGAAGGGTGTTGTGCGCGTGAGCCCTGAAGGGCCGGGGAGGCACCAGCTGCCACCTGGGGAGGAGGCCGAGGCCGCAGCTTGAAGGAGGCCCCGGCCCCTCTGCGCCTGTGTCTGGCAGAGCTGGTATGAAATGAAGAGACAATCCTTTCAAGGATAATCAAGAGTTCTGGCCGGACCTTTGGGCACACACCGACAGAGTGAGGAGCCAGACGAAAAGCACAGACTATGGCGCTGAAACAGATTAAGGAACTTAGTGATTTGGCCCGTGACCCTCCAGCACAGTGTTCTGCAGGTCCAGTTGGGGATGATGTTTCATTGGCAAGCCACAATTTTGGGACCTAATGACAGCCCATATCAAGGCGTGTATTCGTTTTGACAATTCATTTCCCTACAGACTACCGCTTCAAACCACCTAAGATTGCATTTACAACAAGAATTTACATCCAAATATTAACAGTAATGGCAGCATTTGTCTTGATATTCTAAGATCACAGTGGTCTCCTGCTCTCACTATTTCTAAAGTTCTTTTATCCATTTGTTCACTGCTATGTGATCCAAACCCAGATGACCTTCTAGTGCCAGAGATTCCACGGATCTATAAAACAGAGATAAGTACAACAGAATATCTCAGGAATGGGCTCAGAAGTATGCCATGTGATGCTACCTTAAAGTCAGAATAACGGGCATTATAGCTGGAATAGACTTTAAATTACTGCTCCTTTTTTGATTTTCTTATCCGGCTGTCCCCTCATCAGACCTCACCTTCTTTAATTTTATTTTTTGTTTACCTCCCTCCATTCATTCACATGCTCATCTCAGAAGACTTAAGTTCTTCCCGATTTGGACAATAACTGCTTTTGGAAACTGTGAAGTAGTTACAAGAGAACAGTTGCCCAAGATTAAGAATTAAAAAAAAAATGGAGCATGTATATTATGTGGCCAATATCTTCACTCTAACTTGGTCATGAGACTAAAACCATTCCTCACTGCTCTAACATGCTGAAGAATCGTCTGAGGGGGAGGGAGATGGATGCTCAGTTGTCACATCAAAGGAAGCAACATTATTCTAGCAGCATCCATTCTTGTTTAAGCCTTCCACTGTTAGAGATTTGAAGTTACATGATAAGCTTTATGCTCATAACTGATGTGGCTGGAGAACTGGTATTGAATTCATAGCATCAGCAGAACAGAAAATGTGATGTATTTTATGCATGTCAATAAAGGAATGATCTGTTCTTGTTCTTAAAAAAAAAAAGGTATCTTGAAGTGGGGAGGGTATAGCTCAGTGGGAGAGCATGTGCTTAGCAGGCACAAGGTCCTGGGTTCAGTCCCCAGTACCTCCATTAAAAAACAATTAAAATAAGTAAATAAACCTTATTACCCCCCACAAAAAAACATAAAATAAAATAAAAGGTACTTTGAATTGTGTAGTAAACAACACGTGGGCTTTTTGTTTTACAGCAGGAAAATAACACTGATGTCTGTTCCTAATAACAAGTAAATATGCCAATCTGACCGAAGGCTTTAGGAAGTTCCTCAAAGCAGCAGTTTTTATGTTCTTGGCTCCTACAGAGCCATTAAGCGTAAATAAGATCACATAAAATTGTAGTTAAGGGCTGGAATTCAAGTACCAAACTGTCTGGCCTGGAACCTAAACCCTGCTGGTTTTCTAATGGATGAGCTAGAGCAAGCGATTTAACCTTTCTGTGCCTCAATTTCCTCATCTGTAGAAGAGGTATAATATAACTGGACCTACTTCATCAGGTTAGTGTGAGCACTGAATGAGTCTGTACACGGAGCACTCACAAAAGTTCCCGCACATTGTAAAGCAACAGGTACTACACAGCTTTGTGGAGCTATCAGAGGGGACACAACACATGGAAATTATACAGCCCTCATAAGACGCTACATTAAAAACTGCAGGACCTACACATCCAAGCACAAAACTAATCTCCACACAAAACAAAGGAAATGAGAGAACGTCTACCTGTTGGTAATGTTTTTCAATCGCCAGGATCCTGTCATGCAGAGAAGTGAAGAGCTTAAAAGATTCCTCTTGAAGACGGTCATCGAATTTCTGTTGAAGCAGTTGTCTGAGGAACCCAAAATCCAACTGAAGGGATCTCATAATCTAAAAATGGAAACAAAGACATTACTGTAGAGAGTAAGGGCCCTCTGTGTAAAGATTCCAGCAACTGGCCTGGTTCTGGGCAGGTAACCTGGGTGCCTGGTCAGGGGCCTGTCCCAAATCTAAGGCTCCCTCTTGAATATCGTGTACATTGGGGGGTGTCCAGTTAATCTGCTCAACTACTGAATGCTAATGGAGGAAGGGACAGGAGGGTCCTAGCAGTTTCGTCCCATCTGCCACACCTCAAAAAACTACCAAAAGAAAAAATAGTTTTCAAGATGTGGCTTTCAGATCAGAAAAGATGGGCAAGAATCAACAATTGTTGTGACTTCACCAGCCAAGTACCTAAATATATAACCAGCATGTTGACTAAGAACCATTATCATCCAAACACAATGTACTTTTGTCTCCCACCACCTATTTAAAATGCATTCACAAGGTAACTCCACCCTGAATGGAAACTGTAGGCAGTTCGTGCTCAGGGTTCTTGAGAACAGAAAGTCGTACCATCACTCAAAACACAGCCTCAAAGTAGCATTTAGAATGTGACATTTCCAACTTCATTCATGGGTAAGGCTGCTCCCTGTACTCCAAGCCAAGGGCAGGAGTTGACAGCTACCGGTCTCTAAGGAAAAGAGTGGGATTCACTCCTGAGCTCTGTCCTTTCTCTCTTCCTCCCCCAGACCCAGCTGGGGTGTCTCCACCACGGACAAGGCAGAGAGGATAGAGAGGCACAGCTGTGCCCACCTGGCGGGGGGGCTTCACCCTGGTCTGGCAGGACATGAGAACTAACCCTTCTTCCCTTGGGCACCAACGATACTGCTTCTCTAGAGATGCCCGCTCAGGGACCCTCTCTCCAGTGGATGCATGTTGACCAAAGATGCTTCTCTACTCTGGGTGGTCACTGCAACTCCATCCTCAGCCCCCATGAATCTAGGGTTCTCCTTCTTCTCCCTGCTGTCGGGGGATCTTTGTCTTTCTAGATCTCTCCACTGGATAAGACTCAGAATGGCCCCATGCTGGCACTCTCTCTCTCTCTTTTTGTCTCATTGGCTACATATGGTCCACAGGAAGCAATCACATCCCTCACTCCAACAACTCGGCAAGTGCAGGCTGATCCCAGCTTAAGTCCTTCCACTTTCTTCAAACCCCATTTTCGCTTCCTCGCACATGAATCAGCTCCAGTCCTCTGAGTCTTCCAACAGCAGCAAATACATTTCAGGTTCCACAGAAGCCCGCCTTACTGGCTTAGAGCTGAGCAAGAACCCTTCTGCTACCCCTCTCCCACAAAGAGCATGGCACTAGTGCCATCTAAAGAACCGGCTTCATTTTCCCCCTTCACCTCCTGACTCCCCCCCCCTTTTAAAAATTTATCCTTGGTCTGATTCAAGAGCTAAGAGTCATTGATCTGAGGTACAACATCCTCTTGGCAAATTCTGCAAATGGGATGTCACACCCCCTTAGGGACTGGATGCCTTGTATACTAGCAATCTGGGTAGGATCTCAATTTTGGGATCCAGATACCACGTGGAAGGTTTTCTTTTGCAGATGAAGACATCAATGCCTTGAGAGGTTAAGTGACCGACCAGCTCAACACGATGTGGCTGGTAAACGGGAGGTCCAGGTTTGAACTTGAAGATCGATCAACAGAGAGAAAAAAGATTTTTAAAAAATGTTTAATGAATAGAGTACAGGGCCTTGTTAGACAATAATCGAGGGTCTGACACAGGAGTAATCAGAGAAGGAGAGGATAAAATCGTAGTAGAGAATAACCTTTGTTTTGTGGGAGGTTTACAGGGACACCATGACCTGGCCAGCCCATGGGGATGGCTGCAAGAACAAAGACTGCCTGCAGCAAGAAGATTACAACCACCAACCACCCCCCCTCCCTTATTTTTTGTATAGAAGGAGCCTGTATTCTCACTAGAGCAGGGTGGTTCTCCAAGACATTAGTCTGCCATCCTCTTGGTCTGCCAGCTTTCCAAATAAAGTCGCTATTCCTTGCCCCAACACCTCGTCTCCCAATTTACTGGCCTGTCTTGTGGAGAGCAGAATGAGTTTGGACTCAGCAACATGTTGGCCAAAAATCTCCCCGTTTTGGTGAAAGGTTCTAAAAGCTGAACAAACCTTCAGCAGGATAAATACACACAAACCATACCTAGGCACTTGGGTACATAAGAATTACATGGTTGAAAACCTAAGGTAAAAAGATCTTGAACGTTAGAAAACACTTGGAACGATTAACGTTTTCTTTTCAGAAACTACGGAAGCCAGAAGAGCAATTTTCAAGTGAAAGAAACACAAAAAACAAACAAACACCAAAAAACTTGTCTGCCCAGAATGCGATATTCAACGTGAAGACATTTTAAATAAAACTATGAGAATCCATTGCCCAAATACTTATAGTACAAGAATTGTTAGAGAAGGTTCTTCAGGCTAAGAAGACATGTCATGGGCTGGAAACTACCTCTTTAGGGAAAAAGGAAGAGCACTGGAAATGGTAAATATCCAGGTGAATATAAAGACCAGTTTTTCCTTTTTAGTTTAAAATATGTATGATTGTCTAAAGCACGTTATAACTTGCATCTGTAACATATGTAGATGTAATAATACACATGATAACCGCAGCAGAGGGCAGGCGAGGGTGGTAAGTGCACCTACACAGTTGAAAGGTTATTACAGGTCACTTGAAGTTGTGCAAGATTAACGTTAAGTAGACTATGATCTTTGCTGAAAGAAGGATCCAACGAGTTTTAGGATCAATGGAAATTAAGCTCAAAAATAAGTACTGAGATATAAGAAGAAATGGTGAGCAAAGAAATTGGTGAAGGTGAGCACATAAAAAACTAACATTAACTGTATAAAATAATGATATGAATAAGCAACTGTAAAATAGTTGGGGAAGAGAGTAGACCTAAAACACTTGACAATAATCATATGTCAGACAGAGGGGGCGATTATAGATAAAGGTACTATGTTTCTTGGATTGTTGACACAAATTAGAAATTCTACTTAACTGCAGACACAGTAAAACCAGGTACGCAAGTTCACATTGGAGGACAACCATTAAAGAAGAAAGATAAAATGACTGACTTGATTTCTAGCAGAAGAGAGAACAGGAACTAAAGAAAGTTTATCAATTCAGTGGAAAGCAGGGCGGGGCTTTTTACGTTTTCCATTTCCCTGGCATAATCATGAAGACTGACCTCGCACAAAGCCTTAGGTCAAGTCACAACAAACACTAAATAATTTGTCTCACAAAGACTGTTCACTGGCAACAAAGCACTGGAGTTAAAACTCAACAACAAAACAGTAACTAAAAAGCATGCTTGGAGAGCTAACAAAGCAGGGAAGGAGAAAAAAGAAATATAGATAAAGAAGGTACAGGGTGGGGAGGTGGGGAGGAAGGGATAAACTGGAGGTTCGAGATTTGCAGATACTGACTGGTATATATAAAATAGATAAACAAGTTTATACTGTATAACACAGGGAAATATATTCAATATTTTGTAGTAGCTCATGGAGAAAAAGAATAAGAAAATGAATATATGTATATTCATGTATGACTGAAGAATTGTGCTGTACATCAGAAATTGATGCAACACTGTAAACTGACTATACCTCAATAAAAAAATAAGAAAAAAAGGTAAATGGGAATTACAGAGTAGAGTTGGCATAAAAATAAAAATATATCAGTAATCATAATCAATACAAACAGAACAAATCACCTGTTAAAAGAGATCATTAGATTGGAATTTTTGAAAACTAGCTGAAGGCTGGAAATGGAGCAGCCATCTTGTGACTATGAGGTCGGAAATATGAAAGCAAAAGCCATGCACTAATGATGGAGCTGTGAAAAGATAAAACAAATCTGGTACACAGGTGACATCAGGAGCTACTGCCCTAACCCCAGACTGTTTAACCCAAGACTTCTCGCTACTTAAGTCAGTAGAGTGGCATTGTTATACATAGAGCTATATGCCAACCCAACTGATACTCAGCTCCAATTCAAGGAATAAGAAAAAGAAAAACAGAGTAAACCCAAAGATAGTAGAAAGAATTAAATAATAAAAACAGAAATGTATGAACTAGAAAATAATGATATGATAAGAGAGGATTAATAAATCCAAAAATTGAGTCTCTGAAAAAAAATTAACAAAATAGATAACATTGTCAGGATTCATCAAAAAAAGAGTGAAGGTATGCAGACAACATTAAGAATTTTAAGCGAAACATAACTACAGATTCAATAAAGGTTTAAAAATAATAAGTGATGACAATAATCAACATCACAACTGATAATCAGAAAATTTAGCAAAATTAATATTTTGTAGAAAAATGTAACATCAAACTGACCCAAGAAGATTTAAGAAAACCTTAACATAACTATAACAAAACAACAATAGCAGTAAAAATAAGCAGAGTTTCATGTGCAATTTTACATTGAAGAAATAGCTCATTCCAATCTCATGCCAATTATTCCGGAGAACAGACTAGGGAACACTTCTCAACTCATTTTATGACAATTCTATGACTTTGCTACCAAGATTAAACAACAGCATGAGAAGAAAGAAAATTATAGGACAATCTCACTTATGAACATAGATGGAAAACAATCCTTAGCAAAATAACAGCAAATAATGTAAAGATGCAAAAACAAGCATTGTGGTCCGATTGGGTTCATTCCAAGTTCACTATTCACAAACTGAATTTCATCACATCATCAGATAAAGGAGAAAAACCACATGACTCTATGATCATCTCAACAGATCCATGAAAAGCATTCAAATCCAGTCATTCATGATTTTTTAAAAATTTCCTCATTAATTAGAAATAAAGGAAACATCTTTAACCTGATTCAAGCATATCGTATCAGAATTTGGTTCGGTTGTATTGAAAAATCCAAATAACAGAAGCCTAAAAGAGAGGAAGGAAGTTTACTTCTCTTTCACTAGGTGGTAAAGATGTCAGAAGACCCTTCTATCTCCTTAGTCCCCTGTATGCCTCAAAATCATGGTGCACGTGCTGGCATCCATGTTCTAGGCACAGAAAAGAGGAAAGAAAAAGAAAAAAGATGAAGGAGAGAGGGAGGGGAGGAGGGAGTAAAGGGCAGACAGTGCATGTGGACTATGTCTTAAAGATTCCCCAAAGCAGCCATATAATAATTCCATCTAAATTCTGCTGACCAGAACTTACTTACTGGGACACTAGTTGCAAAGAGATAAAGTTATAACACTTTTCCGAAGGCCTAAAAAGAAGGCAGTACATTGGCTAGTGGGTGGGAAGAGAGACATCCTCTAAAGTGGGAGTACAAGTTGGTATAATTTCTCTGCAGGGCAATTTGGCAACAGCCTTCCAAATGATGAATGCAGGCATCCTTTGACTCAGAAATTTTACTTTTGAGATCTGACACCACAGACTGACTGGCATGTGAGGATGTACAGAATTACTCACTGCAGTAAAAGAAACAACTGAAATGTCCATCAGTAGGGGGGGTATCTAAATACATGATGTCATTTTGTGACACAATGTACTTGTGAAGTAGATGAGGAAGCCTTCCTTGAACCAATGGACATAAATGATTTCCAAGTTGTGTTGTTAAGTGAAAAAAAAAAAGAAACAAAACAGAAGCAAGCACCCTCCTGTACTTAACAGCAGCACGCCACCCTATGTCACATTTTTATTGATTTAGGGCTTTTAATAATAACACTTGTTATCCAATGTGTATGAAATGTTCTGTTTCTTTATAACCGAGGGAAATATGATGAATACTGAGATGTAACAAAGTTGTATGGTTATCCAGGGGAGCAAAATCTGCCACCTCAAATTGTGTCTCTTTGGCATGAGGATTTCTTTAGGATGGTTGTTTTTCAGGCCCCAAAGATTCAGGAAGAAATTTTGAACTTCTGCATAACTTCCTAAAAGAATGTATAAGAAGACCTGGTCCAGGAAGGGGGCTGGCACTACAGATGACTACAGGATAACATGCACTGGGTGTGTAGACAGGGAGGAACCTAGTAAAGTCTGTTTGTTAAAATTCCACGCCCAGCAAACGTTTTTTAATCCAATGTCTGCTTTTCCATCTTCATGTGAATTACCTTCCTCTCCTCTGAAGTCCCAAAGTGCTACCCTCAACATTCTCCCTTGTCTTTAGCGAAGGTGACAGCTTTGGCTATTTAGGGAAGTTATGAAGCTTTTCTGGGTCTCTCCCACATTACGTTATTAAACCTTTGTTGGACTTTCTCCTGGTAATCTGTCTCATGTCAATTCAATTCTTAGGCCAGCCAGAAAAATCCAGAGGCACAGAGGAAACTTTCTTCTTCTCTGACAATGGATAACGCAGTTATTCATTATATTATTCTTCACATTTTCCTATATGCCAAAAAAAATTTTATGTTTTTTTGAAGTATCCTAAATAGAAAATGTTCACAGATGTCAAAAGAATTCCAGAGAGACTAAGGAAACACTTCAGTAAACAAGTTGACATATATAAACACGACATAAACATGACACAAATAAAAATAGTAGTTTATACTAATAATTTCAAAACCCCAACTGTCCCCCAACTCAGTTTGTAAAAGATGTCAATTTTTTTTTGAATGTTAGTCATTTAAATTCCGTCAAGGAAAGAAATATAAAGGCAAATAATACCTAAAAATTATCTCAGAAGTTTCAAAATAAATCCAGATTTACCTGCATGAGCTTCTGTATAGATAAACTCAACTCTTTTAATGGCACAATCTCACTGTAATCTGTTTGGGTGGCATGGTCTGTGCTGAAAAAGCCAATCTTCAAATCATCTGAAATGTTAAATCTGGAGGAAAAAGGTGGAGGGGAGAGGGGCTGAGTCTAAATGTGCTTGATATAATAGATATTTCCTTAAAAATATATTAAGTGAGCATATCTTGTGTAAACCATATTTTAAAGATTCAAAGGATTGGTGAAGCGAGGAAAACACTGAATTATCTGCTCACAATTTGGGTTTTTTCCTAGGACTCTGCTGGATTATCAGATTCCCTGGACTGCAGCACATTACTCCACTGATACTCATTTTATTTCCATTTTCTGAGCTATGGATCAATTTATGAGCCTCCTTTTAATAGCTTATCCACTGTTTTGCATGTGCTGATGCTCAAAGCCATTATAAATTATGCGTAGGCATATTAAGTGAGAATAAGACAGTGGTTCTCAAAGTGTGGTCTGAGGAACCCCTGGGGTTCCAGAACACTCTGAGGAAATTCACAAAGTCAAAATTATTTTCATAATAATGTTAAGATTTTATTTGCATTTTCCACTATCATTCTCTCACAAATGTTCAGTGGGCTTTTCCAGAATCTATAGGTTAAACGACTGCTTGACAGACTGAATGCAGAAGCAGACAGAAGAATTCAGCTATCTTCTATCAAGCCAGGCACTGAAAAGATTTGCAAAAATGTAAAAAAATGACACTATTTTCATTAAGGATTTTGTTTTGAAAAGTAGAGTTCATTTTTCTTTAAAAATACGTTATCTGTACTAACACAGAATTAGATTATCATTATTTTAAATGTTTCTCCTTTAAATTTTCTCATACAGTAACTAAACATAAACTAAAATTCTTTAAGGTCCCAAATAATTTTAAGACCGTAAAGAGGTCCTGAAACCAAAAATTTGCAAACTCCCTCTTTAAGATAATCACACCATTGTGCTGTATTTGATTTTAAACTCGATTCCCCAAAAAATCTAAGTAGAAGCAAGAATTTGTAAAGTCCACCTATGGACTTTTAACAAGGGGCATCTCAGACGGTAGTAAAAAGGCCAATTTTCTGGGGGTATTCTGTCAGTTTGATCAGACTTACCACAACTACAGTTTTCTAAAATGTCTGCTAAAAAAAGAGAGCCATGAACGCCCACGTAGAATTTCCAGACTTCCAGGGCAGGCTCTGTAGATGGAGCACCTGGGTTTCTACCCTCCTTTTTCTGCTGAGCAGGTGGAGCAGACTGTGATGGGGGCAACTCATGGCAACCCCCTCTTCTCACAGAGGGCAGAGCCTCAGATTTCTCTCCCACAGGCCTCACGGTCGGCGGGGTGAACATATTCCCAGTGCGGGGGTATCTCTTGTCCAGCCCACCACGCTGTTCCCAGTCTTCTGGGCAGGCGCTTTAGGGGTGGGCGTGGAACTTGGTTCTGGGCAGTGTGACGTTAGGAAAGGTCTGTGGAGGAGGGGAACACAGGAGCACCAGGAGGAGGTTTCTCTGTGGCTCTCGACACTGCCACGTGTGGAAATGATGCCAGGAACTGGCACAGTCACCTGGTAGCCACAAACCGGTGCATAGAGAACGAGCTTTTATTTTATAATTTTTTTTCTTAACGAAAGGACTGGGGATTGAACCCAGGACCTTGCACATGCTAAGCATGTGCTCTACCACTTGAGCTATCCCCCACGCTCCATGATGGGCTTTTAAAAACAAGGAAATAATTTTGACTGCTGACTTTGCCTAACCATTAACTCAACTAGCTCGGAAACCTGTCATACCTCTGGTCTTCCTGGAATGTCATATAATAAATCAACAATTGGTGAGAGTTTCTGTCAGCTCTAGCTGAAAGCATCCTGACAGTCTGGGTAAGTGACATGATGTAAATTACTTACCCTTTCTGTGCGTTAGTTTCCTCTTATGCAAAATAATAGTGCCTATTTCATAGAGTTAGTCAGGATTAAGCCAACCCTCAAATGATTGCTTCCTGTCCCAGCAACTTCACGATCTGCTGGCTTGGAGGTCTTAGTTCCCAAGGGGAGGCTGCTTCTACTGGGAAGTACAGTGGTTCCATTGAATTAGATGAGAGTGAACTGACCTGAGACCTGGCCTTATACACTAAATCAAAGGCAAAGAAAGGCAAGACAAGAAGGAAGGGGGCAGGGCACAGCCATTAAAGGAAGGACACAGCAATTAGCACCAAGATGGCAGAGAATTCAGCTCCCAGGAGATCTTGAGGTCCAAGATGGTGGAATATTTGACTCCCAGTAGACCCTGAGCATCATTATATGCTCACTGTAATATGTTAGCATGAGAAACACACCCACAGGTGCCATGACAGTTCTGAGGCTAACCATGAAAGGTCAGAAAGAGGGCAGTGGCCCAATTCCTGGGAATCCTGCCCCTTTCCCAAAGTAGCCAGAATAACCCTCCCGCTTGTTAGCATATGAAATAAAAACTAGCAACACTGCATCTCACGGCCTCTCGCTCCGTCACTTTCTGAGTCAGCCCACACTCTGTCTGTGGAGTGTGTATCTACTTTTACTTTAAACACCACCCCCACACACACCTCATGGCCTCTCTGGCCTTCGGAGATGGCCTACGCTCAGTTTATGGAGTGTGCATCTCTGAATAAATCTACTTTTATTCAACTATGGCTCGCCCTTGAATTCTTCCTGTGCGAAGCCAAGGACCCTCACTTGATGGGGAGCATCCGAGGGACTTGCCTGGGACCTAGGATATGGCCATCTTCTCGTGCCCCATTTTCCTGTATCAAAGGGGTCACTCTACTGGTTGAGGTGATTAATTCTGATTACCAAGGGGAAAGTGGGTTGTTCATACACGACGGAGTCAAAGAGGGCTATGTCTGGAACTCAGGAGTCTCTCTGGGGTGCCTCTTAGTATTTCCACGTCAAACAGTAAACATTAATGGAAAAATACAGCAACCTCCCAAAAAAGGCAGGGCTTCTGAGAACTCAGGACCTTCAGGAATGAAGACTTGGATCTCCCAACTACATAAAGAACCTTGGCCTGCCTGTATCTTTCACCAAATTTCTTAGCCACTCAACAAGCCATCTCCATAGACCAGTTCTGGCCAGCACCCTCTGGCAAGTTTCTCTACCACCAGCTGCATCCTCCCCTAAAAGGTCTTAATCTCAGCATTTGGTGGAGGTGGGGGGTCTTCTAAATTCTTAGTCCCTCCCATGTTTACTCTTCCTCTGCCCCCGGGGTCACCCCTGCATTTGCAGTGGCTGTTACAACGCTGCTTACAGTCTTATCTCCTTGACTGCCTTTGACTAGTTAAAAATCCTTGTTAATATTTAATAAGAAACAGGAAATATTTATTCCTTGTTCAAATACTGGTGAGGTTTCTGTCTCCTGTTTGGGTCCTGAGCGCTACAACAATATAATAAATACAGACAGCTACCTAAACTTAACCTGTTTCTTCAATGCCTCCCATTTAACAGACCTCAGTGACTCATCCTTCCAGTCTAGAAATGTAATCTTGTATCCTCCCCAGTGCCAAGTGGCTGCTTTTTACTGTTCAACTTCATTTTTCATTAGCATTAACCATGTATGTTTTCTCTCCTTCCCATTTTAAGCAAAAGATCTTGGTGGGAGGCACATTTTGAGTGTGAGTAGTTTCTATGATAAATATATAATATGTCAATTATATCTCAAAGCTGGAAAAAAATAGAAGTGTAAAAATAAAACACCCCAGATATATCTTCAGGATGATTTAGAAACTTGGAATGATGTTTTCAGTTATTCCCTCTGGTGCCATAATATTACAGTAATACAACATGATATTTTCAAATCAGATTCAAGAATTTTATAGATACCTCCCCCGGGGTGTCTAAAAATATATTAGCACCTATTTATCATGTTAAAAGAGAAAAATGGCATTCTGAAGCCCACGATACCACGTGTTCTAAAGCCCCTGATACCAGATCTAGACGTAATACCTGACTTAACTGAAGTTTTGACCTTCCCCAGAAGTGTAATCTTAATGAACCAGTCTGGAATTTTCTGGTCAGTGCCAAGAAGATAATCTGTCACGCGGCCCTTTCCATTCCCCTCCCACCCCCAGAGGAAGAAGAGGCAATCTGCATGATAAAAACCCCTGCTCTTACCCAAAAAAGTCCTAGCCTAAAAACAATGTTTTCTTTTCTGTGCTAACAGCTCCCTCACCCCACCCTTTTCCCTATAAAGACCTTCCATTTTGTACAACCCCTTCTGAGCACCCTTCTAATTGCTAGGTGGGCGGCTGCCTAATTCATGAATCACCTAATAAAGCCCATTAGATCTTCGAATGTACTTGGCTGAATTTTGTTTTCTACCAATCGAATGCTTAACTTGTCCTTCATGCTTAGTTAAGGTACATGTCTTAATACACACACACACATTTTCTTCTCAGGTTATCTAACTTTGAAGCTGAGGCTCAAAGAGAGTAAGTAACTCACCTAAAACCATAAGCCGGAGAGGTGACAGATTCACCCCTGGCGAGAATGGCAAGTACAGGTCTCTGGATTTACCATCCCTTGAGTCCTAACTTTCTGAATGACTGATTCAGAAATTTCTGGCTCATTCAGAATCTAAGTGAAATGAGAAGGTTCCTTCTTCAGCCTCCTATCAAATTCCAAATGTCCCAATTTTAGATGACAACCCCGCTGCCTAGAATGGAAACCCACATCACAACAAATGAGCTAAGTGATTCCGACACAGCCCTTATTTATAGACTCAGCAATTTGATTTCTGGATAATAGCTTGGTTGTTATGCATAAAATACAGTCTTGGAAAGACAGCAATTACAAATTTTTTTTTAAATAGATACAAAATTAACATGTTAACTTATTACAGAAAACAGATTCATGAATATTTATTCATAGAAGGCAATGACACTTCTCACTAAATCCTTGAATAGCCTATCCTAACAAACGCTTATTAATGAATTAGTCAAAGAAAATGGGATTAAACATGCTGAACTTTCACTATAGTGTACTGCTCAATTTTAAACAAGGAAAACATTGCGTCCTTTTTTTTTTTTTCTCTTCAAAGACCACACAAATTTGATGCGTCCCAAGGTGCACATTTCTTTTCATTCACTTCCTGGGTGATCTCACTAAGTCTCCCAGCTCTAAGTGCAATTTTGTGCCAAATATCCCCAAACTGATACAGCCATCCTGGAGCTCAACTTTAGGCTTGAAGGGTAGCAGAATATGGCACCCCCAAAAAATGCCCCGTTAGCATAAGGATTATTTTGAGCTAATTATTTTGAGGAACTGCAGATATAGGAGAAGCCCTGCAAACAGAGTAGAAGTTCCCCCTTTGTAAAAGAAATTTACACTTACAAAGGAAATCTCCAAGTGTAAGTGTCTTTCTCTCACCAGGAAGATGACTCTAATTCAGGGAGGAATCTTATTAATGGAGAAGGCACAAATTTAAATCTGCACAACAAAACTTATCCTTGTTTACTGGACTTCTTGGTAACCTCCCATAAGTGGTCTCCCTCTACCCAACATCTTTCTTTTGTCTTTAACTGAAGATGGTATTCAAGGTGTTAGATTGGGACATCTTGGAGTCTTACTCATTTTCCCTGGATAACTTCTATGTAAACACTAATACACTTGTTTTCCTCTTGTTAATCTTTTAACAACTGGGGGGGGGGGGCAGGGAGTTCTCAGCCAAGAACTCAGAAGAATACAGGGTAAATTATTTTTCTTCCCCTGAAGACTCATATAACCACCTAGCAACTTAACAGCCTAGATGGAAGGCTAATAGTTACTCCCAAGATATTATGTCCAAAGGCAAGCTTATGATCGTCCCCCCCAGGGCAAATCCTCTCCTGGTCTTCATCCCAGTTCATGACACCTCCATTCTTCCCATCATTCAGCTCAAAAATTTCAGCATCTTCCGCACTCTGCAGCCATCAGTCCCACCTCTGACACAGATCTAGACCCCGACTCGTCTCCCCACCTCCAACCACTGCTCCCCCCATGGGCATTTTTCATGAGGCATATTGTAATAGTCCTCTAGCTAGTTTCCCTCTTTCTGCCCCTGTCCTCATTATAGTCCAACAGCAAAACAACAGGCGGAGTAATTCTGTTGAAAGATAAACCAGATTATGTCATTCCTCTGCATCAACAGCCTCATGTCTTCCCATCTGTGATGGTGTGATTTATAACAAGAAGTATATGTTTTGGTCTCCAGTCATGTTTCCTGCCTCACAGCAGCCCAAACCCTTGGAACTTCCTAAGGGGCAAGCACAATAGGATCTTTTTTTATAATGTTTTATAATATCTCGTCTTCTGTCCTCAGTTTCTGAAATAGCAGGAAAAAAG